CTTCATGGGCTTTGTGCACATGTCACTGTTATGGCAAAATTTACACTTGAGCCACAATCGGAACTAATAGGACTTCCCACTTTATGATAAATTTCAAGAAAAATTAACGCCACATTTTACCAATTTGTAAACTATCTTTCTTGTGGATTTTTGTACTCATTTTTCCATCAAGGTGAATCAACATGTTGTGTTATGATGTGAAATTCCTTTTTAATTGACAACTTCAGATAACTAGAAAACTAAGCTTTATTTCAAAGATGGTAGTGTCATCGAGGGTGGCCGCGGGAGGGGGGTGGAAGGAGATGCATTAATTTAAACAAACTTTAATAGAAACATACTTATCATCCTGTTGACAGTCAGTGCAAGCTTCCATGCTTTTGCAACGGCAACGTTCTCTGCTTTCGCCTGATTTGGCCCTCTTCAATCCGCAAAGAACGCAACTGTTAATCTCAGCAGTTCTTTTAAAGGGCTAAAAATCACAAAGAAACCAAAGAAAAATATTAAGGTTTAGTTTGTGTGGTTCTGCCAATCATTAGCCTACATATCACTTATGTTTAAACGCGTTAAACATAAAGTCTTGTGGGACTAAATTCAATCGGACTTTATTTCTTGTCATTCGAAAGAATTATAAATCAAATTTGCAAGACTGACTGTCATAGTTAAATAACCGCTCAACTCGTTTTAATTATCATGGTTGCGAATTATATTGGTAATAAAGGTGGCAAGTTCCATAATTGGGATCATGGGCGTTGAAAAAAGCCCGAGGCAAAATTTGAATGCTTTCTTTATTAGCACCTCATTTTATTGATTTTAATTTGATTTTCCACATTTAAAAAATGTCATTACTTTACATTGTATTGCCGTTTTCAGTGTTATTTTAACGATGCCTGTATTGACTATTTTCAAATTATTTACCTATGCCCAAGTTGTTAATGATTTAATCGGAGATTGAAACACTAATGGAAGCAAGTATTCTGTTGTGTCTTCGGAAAAATTTTCATTAAAATATTATTATAATTTTAAACAATTGGTTTCATTGTAAGAAGCATTTCACTTGGAATTTGTCATTTTATATCCAAACATATTTCAATGCTTTAAATGCAACTTTAGTTTCAAAATATTGAAATCAATTTAAACAAATAAATTAGCAAAAAATGTTCTTCGAATAGGAATTGAAAACTTCTAACCGAAGGGCGCTATAAACAATAAAATGTTACATTCCTGTATTAAAAGCTTTTATTTTAACCTCTTGCATAATGCGCAAAGGAAATACGCATTTTATGACTTGAACAAGTAAATACTTGGTGGTTTGGTGGTGTTTTGAAATAGGGCAATTAAAACAAAACTGGAAAGGCACTTATTTGTACGTCATGGTGACGGAAAATATTTTTATTTAAAGTTAAGATTTCCTTTTGCTGGTCAAAATACAATGTATGCAGGAGCTGAAAATGCGATTTATTACACTATTAATTGAATTTAATTATAACCTACAAAATGCAAAATGGGGATTTGGATTTCACTCCCACTTAGGTTTCACTATTTTCCTCTCTCTCGAATATATATCTTCAAGATGATTCTCATCTAATTCGATGTCAATAGCCACGTTGGGCTATTCGATTGTCCCTTTTGACTGTTAGTTGATTTCGTGATTAGGTTTAAATCTTAAATTGGAAGTGTTTTAATTATAATTATTATGAACTATTAAAAAAAATTAGATTTGACTTTGGAGATACGCTTCAAATTCCAGACAACAACTGCAACCCTCCTCACCAGTTATTCAACAAGGCATATCCCTCTTCTCCGACGAACCTACATAAACATGCTCAGATAGCATATCCCTCAGGTCTTCCATTCTCTGCTGAATTCGCATGGTGCACACTTGTCCTCATATCACATTTGGAAATTCCAATTAAGGGGAAATGCAAATTTCAGTTGTTATCTGAAAACTACTTGTTATTATTTGCACTAAGAGTGGTGGAAAGAGCCGAACAAATGGAATTAGAATGATTTTAGCGCAGTAATTTCTCATTTCCTGTTGCCACCACCACTGCAAACTAGATATTACTTTATGTCAAACCACAGGCTAGATATAATTAGTCCTTTAGTTGACTTCAAACTTCACAGAGGGAAGGGACATCAAAGTAAAAATGATTGGGAGGGGGGGGGGAGGAACAGAGGAGTGTTTCAAAGATGTAAAGAGGATAGACATATAGGTAGAGAGTAGAGAAAAGTGAGTACTGTGAAAATGTCATGAATGTTTTAAGTCAGAAGTCAACTGCCGGTTAATAGACCTTTTACCGTATGCGCATACGTTGTCCAGGATGCACCAAGTGAAGGTAAGTCTATCTCGTACCTCTCAAACTTAAGTTAGGACAATCGTTCAGACAATGTATCTATACTACTTGCATTCCATATAAATATCCACAGTTCTAGTTTCTGGGGTGTGCGATAGACCTATTTCCATGTGGTGCACCCTGGGCAACGTATACTCATACAGCAAAAAGTCAATAAACCAGCAGTTGACTTATGACTTCTAACTTTCATGGTATGACTGAGTATAATATTTCACCCCTTCCATAATACTCACCTTACCCTACTCTCTACCTTTGTATCTGCCTGCTTACTTTACATCTGTAAATCTGTTTCCCCCCCCCCCCCCTTCTCAACTTTGTGTGACTTTGTTTCTCCCCTCTGTGAAGCCCGAGGCCAATTAAAGGGCTAATAGTGTCTATCAAAAATGCTGGCTTTATAATAATAATAATAAGCTCTAATATCTAGATTTTAATCTTTGAGTTAACTAATGAACTCCTTTTTGAGGCGGTCATACTAAGTTTTACTGACCCCCCTTATTCTAAACTTAATTTAGTCGTTTTTCTATAAATTTGACACTTAAGTTTCATGGAAATATATATATATATATATATATATATATAACAGGCCTGCTTGCCCTAAGTCGCATTGAACTCTTGTCTGCATTTGTGGTAAATGTTTCAATTGAATGCAGCTAAAACGTAAGTAGGATAAGGCAGAAATTCCTTGTAGTCAAATGGGTAAAGCACTTTTGTTTTCCCTTGCCTGTTTTAGCACATAAAGAGAATTTTGTGGGGGGAATTGAGTTGTGGAAGAATATGCCCTCCTTTTGAAAGGGGAAGTTTGGCTGTAAACTTTTTCGCTTTTTGCCAGCGGTGAAAGATGCGCAAATGCGAATTTTCACTAGCATATTATCTTACGCTGAAATAATTTTAATATAATTTCACAATGCAAAAAATATAGAGGTATCGTTTTCATTGCACTATACAATAATTTACATTAAAATTAATATTCAAAATTGTTTTCGCTAACATTGGTGGTCTTTGTCCTTATGACAGAATAGTAAAGAAGAGTATTGGGTGAGCTAAAGTGTGATGTAGTTTTAATCTATGATGTAGTGGACGATTCAATTCCTTCAAAATGGTAATAAATTGATTTCTTGGCATTCTAGACTAATTATTTCTTTCATTTGACCCATCATCCAACCCATACTGCAAAATTCCCTTCTCAAGATGTTTGAGTTACCATGATTAATGAAAATAACCAGTAAATGGTGGAAAAATTTGCTCCAATTTATTGAAATTGTAGCGGTCAGTGATTTGCCCAAAATAAATGACAATATAAAATTAATATTGGACAGCAATTTTATAATCTTCCACCAAAACTTAAACAATCTGGTTTTATCTGTTTCTTTAAGGCTTTTTCGTGTTTCTTTTATTGCAAATTATTGCTTTATTGATCTTGCTTGATTATTTTATACCAAATGCAGCATAATGTCTATTTAGTTAGAAATGACTAAACTGCTGAGCTTTAAAACAATGCCCTGATCGGGAATAGTTTGGTGTAAAATTCACTCGAATACAATTGTGATTTTAGTAAGAATCCATAAGAGTAACCTTTCACTTTGAATATTTACTGGCAATAATATATGCCTTTACATTGATCGATAGTTCAATTTGAGTGAAACAACGTGCGCATTACACTTTATGCCAATATCACTAATTGAGAACTAGTTAAAAAGAGGTATATATATATTTGATAATAATCTTACCAGAGGATACGGAGTTAGCGTCTATTTTTTTTATTTCAAGAATTGCTAGCATCCGATTATTGGGGAGCTTAGAGGGTTTTGATTCCTAAAACGCATTTATCGAACTGTCGTATTGTTATTGGAGTGAGTAAAATATTCATAAACATATTGAGAGATCTTTGAAAATTCTCGTCGTATGCTCACCCAGCGGTGTCATAATCTACCTTCGTATATGTATGTTAATCCTTTTCCAGAAATTCGTAAGCTACATTTACCACACCTTTGTGCTCATGTTATCAAGCGAAGTTACCACATCCACCCAAATCATTACAACTTGAGAACTCGATCGACACTGTCGCAACATCATCTCCAAACAGGGTTCTCCTTTTCATTCAGGACTTCCACCCACAAATCGTCACATCTCCCTTCTTCCCTGGGCTTACATTGTTCTCATTTTGGGGGGAGGTATGGCTGAGATTAAGCGATTATTTGCAGAATGGATATGAGTTTAAGATACTCCTTACCTCTTTCAAAGGATTAAAATGAAGGTAACGAAGTTATTTGAGATGTCCCAGTTCAAATAGATATCTTACTCAAAGGCATCCTGGGCACAAGCTCACAAAGAAATTTAGCCAACAAATAATTAAATATTATCAAAAAATTCAGAATTTCAAAAATTGCACGAGGCATTTCAAAATCTCTCCTTCATCCAATATCGAGCACTTTTCGATCTCAAAGTGCTTATAAACGCTTATAAACCACCCTGAGTATTGTTTGTGGACTTCTTTCACGTTTTTTTGCGTTAATACCCTGTTAGCGTCAATTTTAACTCAAAAAAATCCCAAAATGTAGGACATTGAATAGTTTAATTTTCTTGTTGGAAAAAGAACATTGTTTGTCATTAATGTAATTTGCATTAATTACAATTAACGATAATTGATTAGGCGCGCTTTCCAATGCGCGATTCACACCATTCTCTATCAATCTAAATTAACAAATGTGTCTATTGTTCTTCGAAAATAAACTAGATTTGCTATCAATTTTAATAAACTTCACAACATTTATCAGAGTACAAACCTTGTTAGGTAGACAATTTGTCAAGCAAAAAATTGATATTTACCCACCTTAGAGTTCATTGAGTTTAATTTGAATTGAATGCTTCCCCACTGTTATTTGAAAGCTCAAATTTCGCAAAGCACCGCTTTGTCTGAATTTGAGATTTAATCCAATTTTGAAAAAAAGACAGTTTATTCATTTTCAGAGAGTAGAACAAACAAAATTGCCTAATAAAATGTGAAGCCAAACCTCATAATTTACCCATGGGAAGGACATTAAGAGTGCCGTTAAATTGGGGGGGGGGGGGGGGGGGGGGGGGGGGGGGGAGGGG